CAGGGGTGAGGAATTTGGTCCGGCCCGTGGTGAGCCCACCCTGTTTGTCTTTTTCGGGACGGTGGTTTGTTAAGGGAGACGGAGGGAGGTAGGACCTGGGAGACTGCAAACCAGGAGGAGGACACGGGAGGCTGTGATCCTCCCACGAGCAAGCAGGTCGGAGCATTGCCGCATGTTACCATTGCAACGCTCCGACAGCGCTGTGCTCGCGGGAAGAAAAGAGTGAAGTCAGCCTGAGTAGCTGCAGGCTGAAGTGTACGTGCCACCACTGGACCACTAGGGCTTGCAGTGATATGTCCCCCCTCCTTCCAGGCCATAGGTAAGGAGGAGGAAGGGGCTGCATAAAGCTGTTTTCCCTCTGTTAGGCTGCTGAAAGATCACGCGGAAACCCTGCCATGGACTTATGCACTAACATGTTTTTTTCCTTCCCCTCCTTTTAAGTAAAAAATATAACTTTCTCCCTAATCCCCGCTCACCCACACTGCACACCTCACCCACATAACACCCCCCTCCCACACACACAGCACCCTACCCACACATTACACCCCTCACACACACTGCACCCCTCACACACACTGCACCCCTCACACACATTACACCCCTCAAACACACAGCACCCCACACAAGAAACCGCTCCCCTCACACACACATACAGCACCCCTCACACACTACAGCCCAAACACACTCCACGAGTAGCAACATCATCAATATCAGCTAACATCACACGCATCACACAGCCATCACATTAGGAGTGAGTTAAATAAATGTTTTACCAAATACATACAGCAGTCTAATTTTAAAGTTGATAATTTTGTATGGCCCGCGAATGATGTTTTAAATAGCCAAATGGCCCTTGGCGGATAAAAGGTTCCCTGGTTTAGACAAAGACTGTTTTTTTTAACATTATATTTTTCTTTATTCGGTTTCATTTTATTTTTTTATTGAGATTTTTCCATGAGTCATTTTATTTGTGTATATTAAAGTGTTGTTACTGTAGTGTTTTTTTTAAATTTGTTTAGTTTTTTTCATACTTCGGTTGCAGTTACATTAATATTTAACTGATTTTTATATATTAAGATTTAAATGATTAATTATGTAATCACCACCCTGTAACTAAAATATTGATGTAGACAAAACCTGCAATACAATTCATCTTGGGTGGGGAGCAAGAATTGTAACTAGATATTACCGCATTACGCATTTAACCCGTGTCCTTCAGGTATTATTTCTTCGCTATTTGTTCCGTGTCCGCAAGATATTTATCATGGTCATTCGAGTAAGTCTGTGTCTCGCCGAGCCATTGGGCAATGAAATTGCTGCCTCTCTTTTGTGAAATAACACGTTGACAGTAACAAGGCTCGGTAGCTAAAAATAGACCCTTGGTAAGCCATGTAGCGACATAAATAATTCAGTACTTATTTGATTTTCTGAGTCTGTCCACTCAGCACAGCGCTCCCTCCTGAAAGCAAAAAAAAAAAAACGAGAGAGACAGCGTTCAATAAATTCAGGAGAGATTAGAAGGCGTATTTTAAACCCGCAAGAGCTAAAAATAACCTGTCATGTAATGGAACAGACGATGTGAGCAGAATAAGTTTAGCTTCAGGCAGCCTGTTAAAGGCTGGTATTAAGAGACAGTTGAATCTTGGGTCATTGAGCAGCTAAAATTTGCGAAGAAACGAAATTAACATGTTACAAAACAGGCAAATTATACACAGGTACGCAAACAAACACACACTATTGCGGATATAAACAGTACGACGACAACAACTAGGGTGTGATCAACAACAAAAATAAATAAAATATAATCTATACGGAATAAACAAACAAAGATCAGTATAATGAATTCTCATTGCAGCATAAAATCCTGGAGGGGTATGAGAATTAACAGTTTGTTAAGGGAACAATTAAATAATAATGATTTTTTGCGTTTAGATGCATTGTGTTGTATAATGTAAACCAGTGGAGTGTGCTAAAACAGCAATTTTTATTGTCTGTACCGTATGGTACTAACCAGCCTGGGTGCAAAATTAATTATCATTTTCAAGCTCTGCAAACTGTCCATCCAGTGTTTGTCAGGCTGGCAGTCAATTTGCTCTATACACGTCCATTGCAGTAATTCATAAAACGCTACAAACCTCAGTTTAGTGACTCCATTAATGTGTGTTTGAATTAGTGATGTGTTGCCCAGGTGCTCCATGGACTCCAGCCAAAACATAATGGTAAGATGTATCACAATCCAAGTTCCATGGTAGAGGGCTTCTCACATCATTTGTTCATTTTTTTTTTTACATTTAACAGTGTTTGTGGGCCCAAGCGGGGAGTTCTGAACTACTGATTCTTATTATCCATCATGTGAACCTCTTGGAGTACCAAATCGCGGAGTTTAGCTTGGAGAATATTCAAAATCCTTAATATTTAACTCACTAGTATCAGAGGGTGAGCTGTGTAATGTTAATATTCATTATCTGTGATGTACAATGTCTCCAGTGCCAGAAGGTTGAGTTATGGTACTCTTATACTCCTTGGTAATTGTAAGAGGACAAGTAACCGTGTGATAGTAGAGGAATTAATCCTTGTTACTCAGTTTTGTCTGCCAGAGATCACGGTTAAATGCCCATTCAAGTATCTGAGAGTTGAGTTCTATAGGGATTTGACACAATAAACTTTTTTGTTAACTATTCGATTTCCAGAGGGTTAATTTATGAATGGCATAAATGGCATAATACTCCTGATATCGTCACTGATTGCATACCACAGGCAATGCTTACCATTCACATCCCTCCCTATACACAGACAATACTCAATATCCTTCATATTTAACCAATTAACCCCACAGTCAGTTAGGATTTGTACCCTTTTATTTATAAAGTGTATGTATAGGGTGAAGGGGTGGCACAAGCCCCTCTAAAACTAAATCATGACCTTGAGGAAGGCAGTCCAATCAGGCAACAGGTTAAACGGACATTAAAAGTATAAGATGTGTGGGGTGGTATAAGGTTTGACTGCTGTAAGAAGAAAAGATAATTGGTAAAATAACAGAACAGTTTGGAAACTGGGAGAAAGCCTGAAAAAGGTCAGGCAGGTCATTACAGAAAAACTGGGGAGGCAGACAGAAGTCCTGAATACGAGAACAATCTGTGAGACTGAAAGCAGAGGGCATGCGGAGGTGGCATGCAATACAAAGGATGAGATAGCTCACTCCCGTTAATTAAAGATGATTTCTTTGTAATGCGAGGTATAGTTGTGGAGACCATTCTAGGCGACAACCGGGATTTAAAATGAAATCCCAGAGGATACAGAAAGTCAGTGTGCGGACTGACAGAGAGATGATGTTATAGAAGAACGACAGGTAAGGAACATAATCCTGACAAGTAGCATTCATTAGGAAGCAGCAAAGCCGGTAAGGGCGAGACAAATCAACACAGGTTTGCAGTAGTCATGACGGTATATAATGACTTTGTCAATGTGTATTTGATGGTATTTTAAGTAAGAAAATGGTGACTGATAGATTTATACGGGAACTGTTACTTCCTAGCTGTTTGCGCAACATGATTGCTAACTAAAATGTATATATAGGTTGTGTGTATATCTTCTTTTTTCTTTTTGTAGTTGTCTTCTAAACAAATGGTATGGAGATGCAAATCAGTTTAACGGACACATGCAGGTGTGTGGGACCATGAAAGGAACGTCCCTTCCTACAGAATTCTGCCCATTACCGGGGGAACCACGCCAGGATACACCTAGCATCATAACCACTACTGCAGCCTGTTGTGGTTATGATGATTGCAGTAGCCCTTCAACCATGTTCTTACACAGAGATAAGCACTATCAACCAGTTAGAATTGGCTGGTCCACAAGAAACAATGAGCTAAACAAGATTTGTACAGTCACATTCTGACAATGTCTTTGCATTGCCCAGGAGTGGAGATATTATTCTTGATCAATCCATGGAAAAGGAGACATCATCTCACCCTAAACGATCAAGTCAAGTTTAAAAAAGCAGTCCTTAATTTGAACATTCTCTACACTTGCTACCATCATCATTTATCTAGTAATAGCACCAACAAATTTTGCAGAGCCAGATACATTGATTAAAGGTTACTACAAGACTTCATTTAAAAGACAGAAAGAGGCTGATACAGTAGGAGTTGAGATTGCTCTTAATATTTAAAAGTGCTGAGTCTGGGCAAACTTGACAGTGGTGGTGGAAGCAGGTTCTGTGATGGAGTCTAATCCTCCCCACTTTGCATTTTAAGGAGGTCTCAGGAATGTCGATGCAATTGATCTTTCACTGCTCAGCAGCACAGAAAGAGTCCTCTGGGCTAAACAATGATGAATAAACAAAAGTAAGATCTGGTAAGAGCTGAACACAAAATCGATGGCTTCTAAATTACTGCCGGTGTTTGTCTGCTGCTGCAGAACTTTAAAAAGGTTAGCACTAACAGGGCTGGGCCCCAGAGAGTCCAACATTGAGGAGCCAACTGGCTAAATTCATCACCTGAAAATTGCCTGATGTCTAGTATCCGGTAAGAAAGTCTTTACGGTCATTCATACGGTGTATGAATAGGATATGGATAGCAATGGTGATACAAAGAGGAAACCCTGTGGAATATTAATAGCATTTTAAAAAGCAAAAACATTTTCTGTAACACTAAGGGCAACATGGAGGACACCCATAGATTAACCCAGGTTTTTTGTTATTGATTTGGATCAAACAAACTGTTTGATTATTTGTCTATCTACTCCTTTCTACATTGATTGTGAGCATGTCTTCTGAAAGTAAATCACACCGGACAGATTGCAGGTTTATGAAGAACTCCAGAGTGGCCTTTATTCCAGGGGGTGCAATTCCCTTTTAAAGCAGAAATACGTCATGTACAGAGTCACAGTTAACATACAGTATACATTAGAGAACTCGCAGCAGGAGGGCACAGACGTGTGACTCTGCCGGCCCCACACACAGGAAATCATCCAGGTAGTGCAGGAGGGAAGCGCCAACCACTCAAAATAACAATTGGTTAACAGTCTAAAGGGTCTTGTCTAAACCCACCCTACTGGGTCATGCCCAGTAGGGTGGGTTTAGACAAGACCCTTTAGACTGCATCATCACATGAAATTTCTTTGTATCCCAACCCCATTCCAGACCCATTTTACTACACGTGGCATGTTTCTACAGAGCTTTTAGTTGCACAAAGGAAGTGGGGGAGGGGTTAGTAAAGGAAGCTGTTCCTTTAACACACAGGAATTTGTTACACAAGGCTTGCTCGATGGGAAGGGGGAGGGTAGCAGGATGGGAGGAATTTACAGAGGAAATAGTTACTGAGCACACAGAGGGGAAGCTTTTACTCTAGAAGCCAGTTTTACACAGTGAACACAGATACACAGAATACATAGACATTAGTAAATAGACATTTTATCCATTCAAGTATTTTGTCCATAACATTATAATTGTTCATTTTCCATGTCATCCTTGCTAATGTACCACTTCAACACAAACACAGATGATTATTTATGCCACAGTCAAAAATATACCTGGAGACAGACAGAAAGGATGACTGATAGACAGAATGGATACATATAATGGAATTAAAATCAAGTTGCCCAAACTAGGCTACAATTTTAAAAAAAAAATGGAACATGAGCTCAATTGGCGAGGGTTTCAATTTGAAGTATTTGGCCTAAATGTTTTAATTTGTCTTCAATTCACTACAGTTCACAGATTAGAAAATAAATTAGTGGAGGTTTGTCTATAGGGGCACTTGAGCAGCGCCCCACCAGTTTATATGAGGGGAAAATGTATTTGCAGTAGTTTTGAAGCACTACACAAACACAAAATTATTGTTTTGGAGAGGACGGTGGTAAGCCAAAAATATGTGGGAAAATAGTGTGTCTTTAATTCTGTAATAGATTTCGGGTCTGCAGGTCCCCTCCCCTCATTGGTAGCTGTTTGGAGAAGCTTACCTGAGAGCACTAGGCATGTCAACAAAATGGGGCTGGTTTGAAACCTGTCCTGTTTCAGCATGTTTTGCACATGCCTAGTGTCCTTTAAAGAGGAAATTCAGGAATTTCCATTGAGTTGCCATTCGGACAGCATAGCCAGCTGCCCAGGAGTGAAGACATGCCTCTCTCTTCAGGGGCCATCATCGGCTCATCTGTATTGTACCCAGCTCTGTGTATTGTATAATTCTGGGTCAAAGTTCTAAAAGTGGTGCAATCAGAAGCGACAGGGTATTTGTTTCCATGGTGATTGCTTCATTCATCAAGAATTACAAATTATGCCAACCCTGACTCTGTCAGGAAAAATCAAATTACCGGTAATAGGTTACATAGTAAACCTCCAGTAGCCCAAAATCAAAAAATCAAATAAAATAAAGCATGTGTTATTGCCTGATGTGGTGAATCTAACCCAAAGGGGAGAAGGATTAATATACAATTATTTAGATCAAGAATAGACTTGCCAATTGGACTACAAATGCTGCATACAGGAACACCTGAAATAAGACTATTGTGGATTATTATTGGTCTACTATGAGTTAATCTACAACGTTTAACAGAGAGCCGAACAATTGTCTATAAAGTATTGTGCACTGGCCGTGAAATAATTGCTGTCAATGCATGCCCATTAGTTACATTAGTAAACCGTATGCCGATAATGGCCGGGACAATACACTAACAATGATTACAGTAACATAAAGCCAACGCCAAGCTCAAGGCTCTATTAGACTTATACAGTTGCAAGAAAAAGTATGTGAACCCTTTGGAATGATATGAATTTCTGCACAAATTGGTCATAAAATGTGATCTGATCATCATCTAAGTCACAACAATAGACAATCCCAGTCTGCTTAAACTAATAACACACAAAGAATGAAATGTTGCCATGTTTTTATTGAACACACCATGTAAACATTCACAGTGCAGGTGGAAAAAGTATGTGAACCCTTGGATTTAATAACTGGTTGAACCTCCTTTGGCAGCAATAACTTCAACCAAACGTTTCCTGTAGTTGCAGATCCCCCAGTTGCCCAAAAGGTAGATCCCCAGAACTACAACTCCCATGATGCTTTGCATGCTTTTAGAATGCTTTAGGATGACAAAGCATTATGGAAGATGTAGTTTTAAATCATCTTGGGATCTACCTTTTGGGCACCAATGTTTTAGAGGCTCCAAGGTTGTATTTGTGATGGCAGCAAAACACTGTTATTAGAGTGTGTTTTAAGAGAACCTATATCCATATCTATTTATTTTATATTCTACTGAATCAGTGGCTGGCAGGAAGTTATGGGAGATGTAGCATGGGCCTCAGCTGTTTAATACCACTGCTATAAAGGAATACTCTAGACACTTAAAGCACTTCAGCACGCTTAGGTGCCAGGATCTGAAGCACCGGCAGGAGAGAAGGCGGTGGTCGTGATGGACAGGCTCAGGTAGTTACAGCTCACCTTCCCCTGCACTTCACAGCACTACCAGCAAAGCAGTCACCGTCGCGAGGGTGGGGGGGTCTTTGCAAATCATGCACAAACCCCAGGCGACGACAGAGCCACTTTAATAAGCCCATAATTGAAACTACTTACAAACTTCCTGAAAACCAAAGCAAACTGATCAATTTTAATGCATAGTTTATATATTTGTTTGATTTTAGTTTGTTAAAAACGCAGCAAAAATGTAGACATCAGTCTGCTGAGAGCACTTCCATGACAACCTGAAATATTTCCTAAATATGAAAGTTTAAGAATTTTCACACCCTCTATGCAGCCAGCTTTGTATTTTTTTTATTTTTTTTTTAATTCTTTATTTTTCAAGATGCTTTGTTTTAACAACATTCCAATGGGTAATTGGCATACTTCATAAGATTGGACACAGGAAAAATGGAAAAACATGGTTCAATTACATGTATAACAGTGAGTTTAGCATTACTCTGAGAACTGGTGCGGTAGTCCTTTTTTAAACAGCATCACATTTTTTAGTACATGCTTAGGCTTTGTTTAGGGACTGCTAGAGAGAGGTCGCTCAATAATGAGTTTATGTTTATGTTTTTCTCTGATTGCGGTCCCTGTGTGCATTGTTTATGACCTATGCCCTGAGGTGGTGCATGTTTAGGTTTGGGTGTGCGGGTTACAAGCATTTTGTCATGTATAAAATATAAAATATAACGTGTCATGCTGGTTACAGGTTGCAGAGGCGGTAGCTGAGCGCGAGTACCATGAGCATGTGCGCTCTTGGTAATGTAGTGTTAAAGTAAAGGGATATGCAACCACGCTGTGGGCCCCTGACCCAGGGGGGCCACGGGGGGAGGGGTGTGGTGAAAAAGTACGCCATTTGGTGCTAGTATATATGCTTGTCAGCCTGATCTGCCCTTGCCTGTGCCGAGATCGGGCCCGTGAGAGCACTGTGTGGTGTATCCTTATTTGGGCGAGAGGGTACAATACACTCTAAACAATTAAATCAACTATGAACACAAACTAGAATAAAATTGGGTTGAAAAGGTGGTCCTCGGGAGTTTGCACCCTGCAGTCACGGTGTTTCTGGCCTTGGGTTCCTCTCTCTTGGGGTGAATGGTGTGATGGAAACGGGATCCATGAGGTCGCCTGGTGTTCGGAGGTTGAAGGTGCAGTCGGGTGCTCAAGACCCAGGGTACTCAAAAAAGTATGTGCAGCTCCCAAATTCGGTAGCATATGTGTAGTCCCGTTTTGAGTCACTACTAAGGAGCCGTTCGCTCCCCAATGGTAAGCCAGTCCTGCGTTTCTCAGCTGGGTTGTGACAGGCCTATAGCTTTTACGGATCTGGAGGGTGGCCCTTGTAAGGTCCTGGAAGAATGCGAGGCTTGAGTTCTCGAATGTGAGTGGTGCCTTATCTTTTATTGCCGCCATGATTTGGAGCTTATCAGGTAGCGTGGCGCATCTTAGAATGATGTCTCGTGCCAATGTTGTTGTGCGGTGAGTAGGGCTTGGAAGACGGTATGCACTGTCTATGTTTATTCGTTTGGCCACAGTGTGAGACATGACTGTTGTCAGCAGTCTTCTAATGTAGTGTGGCAGTTCTGCCGCCGTGACCACTGAGGGGATACCCCTGATCTTGATATGTGTACGCCTCTGGCAGTCTTCAAGGGTAGCAAGTCTCAGTGACAGGGTCTGGATTTGGGCTTGATGCTCTTGTATGGAGGTATCCACGGAGGTTAAGTGGGTTTGTACTGTTAGTATTTCCTCCTCTGAGGTTTGCACTCTCGCAGTGACTGCCTGTGCCTTCGTTTTGAGTAGTGCGGAGTCCGCCGCTAGTAATTTGTGAATTTCTGCCAGAAGAAGTTTTAAATCCCTCTTTGTGGTGGGTGCTGAGTCATCTGGCTGTTCATGCTGCTCAGCTTGAGGGGTGTGCGGAGATTGTGAGTTTCCAGGTCTGTCATGGCCTGCTGCTGTGCCCATGTCCCTAACTTGCATATCGTCCGCGGGAGTGGGTCTGAGTTGGGTGGGCCTCTGTAACATGGCCCCTATATCCCGACCTTCCGCCTGATTTTGGGGCTTTTGAGAGCGCCTACCTTTGCCTGACATTGGTGCTGGTGAGGCTGGCGGTTTCTGGAGTTGCGGGTTGTCTTCTCCGCTCGCGGTAAGGCTTCCCAGGATTCCTTCCAGGCTGTGGAGTGCTCGGTAGGCCTCAGACCTGTGCTTCCTCCTCGTTGTTTTTGGTGCCTGGAAAAAAGGCATCAGTCGGTTCCTCTTGCCCTACTGGATCCGGTTCGATGAGTGTTGTGGCTGGATTGTGCTTAGTATTGCCGATACCGGCAGAATTAGGGTTGTAGGCAGAGGAGCTTCTGGAAATGGCATCTGTTCGGGTCTGTGGTTAAGCTCCGCCCCCCGCCAGCTTTGTATTTTAATTCACCATTTACGTAAAACTTTATGGAGACGATAATAGTAATACTATTTTAAAGGACCAGACCAGCAGATATCCCCCTCCCCACCCCCCGAATGGAATTGATCAGTACAAGATATAAAATAATTTAACAGGATAATGAAGCGAATTCAGATATATTCAAATCTTTGTTTTGATTGCACGCGGAGAGGTTCTGCACATTAATAAGGTAATTAGCAGCATATGCTTTTTCACACCATTTCACATATTATGTTACCACA